AAGGCCTTTTTTGGCATTTTTTTTCGCCGAAATTCGGCACTAGAGTGCATTGTGCACGCAAGTTGGATGCCTCGTGGACGTGGAGAAAGCATTAGAAGTAAAATTATTTTTGTTTTGTATTCGTGAGATTCCGTCAGGTGGCGTAGTCAGAGCGACCGGTTGGTGATTTGTGTGTATGAAATGTAGTCAGACAACTTTGTAGAAATTCGCATCATAGAGCTGGCAAAAGTTTCGAGCGGAGCATAGAGCATGAATCTGTAGTTATTTAACATGAATAAAGTGTATGTTGTGTAAGCGAAGTAACAGTGTGAGTATTTTTAATTAATATCTGTTCGATGCTTATTCAGGCCTGCAGCCTATGGACGGCCTCTACTGTATATCTGCACCTATATGGTTAGAAAACAAGTTCAGTCGATCATAATAAAATATTTGTTGATCACAATGACGTGTCTGTCGTGGCAATGTTAGTTCTGAACATTCGCAAGGAAACATATGCAGGACAAAGACACACACTAAGCGTTATATGATACTGTAGACATGATACTATAGATAGACTAGAGCACTCGGAGAGCGCAGACCTCCGCCAAGGCAGCTCAATTCTCTCACTGTGAAAAATTTAATTAATCAATTAATTAATTAAATAATTAATTGGATCCGGATCACCACCAAAATGTAATCAATTCTAAGTTACCCCATTTCTGACCTATCCTGAAAATTTAATTAATTAATTAATTAATTGGATCCGGATCACCAGCAAAATGTAATCAATTCTAAGTTACCCCATTTCTGACCTATCCTAAAAATTTAATTAATTAATTGGATCGGGATCACCACCAAAATCTAATCAATTCCAAGTTAGCCTATTTCTGACCTATTCTGAAAATTTTATGACAATCCGTCCATACCTTTTTCAGTTAGGCTGTACACAAACAAACCCACAAACCAACAAACACACGCCGAACAAATGTAAACAAGAATGCGAGTTCATGTAGAAATGATGAAGTAGATCCAAACTTGTGTGGTAAACTGTACAATCTTTAATATCTTAGACACATCACATCTCCTTACACACAGACAAAGAACGCCGCACACGCGCATACGCGCGTGTGCTCACTCTCGCGACCAGAACCAGAATCCAGACTCCCCCTACTGTTACATCTATCCCTCTATATTCCCCCAAAACTCCCTACATCCTGAGCGCACATGTCACCCGTTCTCTCAGACCACATCCTACCCCTATTTTACACTGACTCTCGAATCTGCCTAACCTAAAACCCGCTTATCCAACTCTCTGTAACATCAATGTAGCCGCGCGACGCTCTGTCTAGCTAGACATGTCACACGTGTAAAACAGATGTTACACAAACACACGCCGGTGAAAACATAACCTCCTGCCAACCCCTTGGCGGAGGTAATGATACACTAGCAACAATTAAGAGCCTCTTATGCAGTATCCTATATATGCACAGGGTGCGAAATTAACGGGAGTCCGGAGTCAAATAATCCCTGATTTACTGCTGGAATCCCTGATTTGACAAATGCAAGAGTCTGTATGACTCCCTGAAAATTCTGCTATACTAACTAGTTCGTTCCTGAGCACGGCCTCGCGGAATTACCGTATTTTTTCAGCAAATGTCCAAAGAAAATTTGGCAGACGTGCAACCGCATGAATCTTCAAAATAAGCACATGCGTTATTGTTAATATCTTTAATTTTGAACTTCTGACTGCGGACTCCCTCATTTTGCCGCGGATTCTTTTTGAGGGCCGGGAGTCCGTTGGACTCCCTTGTTCAAAAGTTAATTTCTACCCCTGTGTGGCTTCTGTGTGCACATAACTATGCTCTAACATGGATGGGAATTTCTGATCTAGCAGCGCCACCTTTTGGTGAATGTCCGCTAACTTTACTACATCTGCAGCTGTATTTCGAGCAGCCTGAATGAAAGCAAATTGGCATATTAATTATTAATATTAGAGACCACACGTACAGCCACGAGTCACTTTGTTAGCGATAAGGTGCGTAGTCATGTCAAATCTCCCTGTAGGGCAATTTGGAGACGTGTGTTCGCATGCCAAGTCATTCACACGCACAATAAGATTTTGGTCAAATAATCGCTTTATCAATAGTATGTTCTGAGTAACTATTGGTTAAACCCGACATGCTAAAAACGCGACGTCCTGTACAGACTGCAAATTTGATACCGCGTCAACAAAATTTCGCCGATACGCATGCACAGATTACTTTGGGTCACGATAAAAGTACAGTATAGCTGTCTGCTGAGGGACGTTAGTACGCTTGAGAATTTTTTGTCTGTAAGCTGCGATTTAGCGCGCGATGTGGGGAGGGGGGGGGATTAAATTTAGCAGTTTGTATACGGTTATTACTGAGCTACCGATTGACGTGACATATTTAAAGAATATTTAGGCGTGGCCTTGGCTGTTCTGATTGGCCTGCGTCGGGTCGTGCAGATATCTTGATACAGCCGCCCCCCTCCCCTGAGCGCACGCGCGTAGCTGCTTGGCTGAGTTGGCTCGTCCGCAAGCAGCCGCAAGCAGCTCTGACGGAGGAGAAGAAGCACCGGGGAAGGCAGGATCTTACGGTGTACGTTGTTCTCTTCTCTCTCTTCTCTCTCTCTCTCCTCTCTCTCTTCTCTTCTGCTCTCTCCTCTCTCTCTCTCTCTCTTCTCTCTCTTTCTCTCTCTCTCTCTCTCTCTCTCCTCTCTCTCTCTCTCTGCTCTC